TAAAATCTTTACATTTGTAATGATAAAGTCTCTCAGAGGACAATAAGTTGTCTTTATTTATATTCCTTATATAAATGTAAGTATATCCTGAAAATTGTACTGGCATCTGTTGGTTAACAACACTTTTATTGTGAAAACAGTGACTTTTAAAGTAAAACCATACATTGTGTAAAATACACTTTTCATTGCATCCAAAACTCTTAGTTCCCTTTCAGCCATGATTCTTTTTCGAGCGAGTCGAACTACAAATAAAGAAACGTGTCTGGTCACTGGAAATTCCAACTCTGAGGCAGCACCTCCCCATTGCATCAGAAGGTGGCAAGACTATTTTTGCCTCTTTCCCATACGTATATGCATGCGCTTACACATTATACTCAACTGCATTGTATCTTCTCTCATACGGCGGCAAAATAAATAACCGCTTCCCAAATCTCGCGGGTCTCTTTGTACCAAGATAAGGCTAATCCAGGCTCACCGTCCGCAAACTAATTATGTCTCAAAGCCATCTACTACCAAAACAATCGATCAGTAAACTACAATCGCTGAAAAGAATGGTTAAAAATTATCAGCTTTCAAGCTGATCCGAAATCCGAAGTCGATTTTAAATCGTACTGGTCTAGTGACAGAGAGAGAAAGAGGCGAACAGCTCAATGTTTAAGCCAAAGTTTGGTTAATATACGTCGCCTCTTATGCACGTTGTAATGTATTTTGATGGGTTTGGAGGCCGACATATTGAAAACGGAGGAGAGATACATTGGTTCTGATTAGCTCGGAACTTGAAACTAAAAGGAAAAGGCTCAAAATGATTACAATGCAGATGCAAATAGAACGAAGCTGAAATCAAAGATCACGAAAACCCAAATCCCCGGCGCAGTAAAATCCACCGTTCGATAAAAGACTGCTCTCTGGTCAACGCTAAGGTTAGGTAACTTCCCTAACTTATATCAGAACACAAACACGCTGTTATACCCATGAGAAGATCTGATCGAATAAATCTACCCAGCGGGTGAATACAGGGTGTAGGCAAGAGTCAAGACACTTAGGTTCGAAGTGACAGAAATGTTATCTTCTGTTTATTTTCAAGTTACTCTCCGACAGAGAAAATTTATTGTAGTTGACATTCATTGCGATTTGCCAATAAGATTTTATTTCGATTGTAGATTTCTCTCCCAGTGGAAATTTTTGATCGGATTTTGTGTCGGCCAAAGAATCGGTTGCATGAATTATTATCTATTCGCTTTAATTATAAGATTTATTATATATATATATATATATATATATATATATATATATATATATATATATATATATATATATACGACATTTTTATGTTTATACGTTCTTTCTTATAGATACAAATATTTAAGTAAATGCTCTGTTTATAATAAACAGTATTAACAACATTTACCGGCCTGAATGTCCGAGAAATTGTCATAGAAAATATGCGTCGTCCGACAGGAATCGAACCTGTAACCTATACGGAACCGTCATTTACCCTGACGTGCCTTAACAGTTTGGGCCACAGAGGAGAGTTCGGTTAGCAAGGTTGATCATTTAAGACGCATATTTTCTGTGAAAGTTTCTCGGACATTCAGGCCGATAAATGTTTAATACTGTTTATTATAAACAGAGAATTTACTTAAATATTTGTATCTATTAAAAGAACGTATAAACATAAAAAAAATGTCTTAAAATAATTGTCGGACTTTGTCCATTTCATAATGTGTGACGTAATTTGTTTACATTGGATACGCGTTGAGCAGATATGAATGTACGTGAGAAAACCATAGAGAATTGTGTTTAAAAACAGTAAAAATCAACCTAGTCAAGTCAGGCTATATGACGGTTCCGTATAGGTTAAAGGTTCGAATCCTGTCGGACGACGCATATTTTCTATGAAAATTTCTCGGACATTCAAGCCGGTAAATGTTGTTAATACTGTTTATTATAAACAGAGCATTTACTTAAACATTTGTATCTATAAAGAACGTACAGACATAAAAAATGTCTTAAATAATTGTCGGAATTTGTCCATTTCATAATAATATATATATATATATATATATATATATATATATATATATATATATATATATATAAAGAGAGGAGAGATACATGCATATATACATACTATTATCTATTCGCTTTAATTATAAAATGTATTAATATACATACACACACACATATATGAATTATATATATATAGAGAGAGAGAGAGTGAGAGAGAGAGAGAGGTGCATGCATACATACATAATAGCTGGCCACTCGTATTCAAAGATACCCGTCTACTAGAGCGGCTAGCCAATCCCTAATTCAGACGCTCGCTCAGGCATATTTTCTCTGGCAATCCTTATTACTGGTTCCCATATTGTATTAATTTTTGTGCTTGGTCGACTCAGGAGATTTTTGTGGTCTAGCATATGTGCTGATTCCTTAAGTTTACGAATTTTCCAATGGCGTTCCTTGTCTATGATCTCAGCCTGATCCCACAGAGGGCGGCGATCTCCCTTCTCAGTAATAAAGAGTGCCAGAGAAAACCGATAATAACAACAAAAGTTGCAATATGAGCTCTGGTAAAAAAAAATAAAATGATAACAGCAAAAAATTGCAATATGAGCACTGGTAAAAATGTTTGCTGAAGACATTAGGTTTATAATACCCAGAAATTCATACACAGAAGTCCTCAAGGACACATGGCCCAGTGGATAAAGGCGTTGGTTTCAACCAGTGACAGGACCCAAAAATTTCAATACCCGGTTATGCCAGTGGAGAACTTTCAGAGGGAAATTAACAGGAGATAACTGATAACTGACATTCATTAAACATGGCACGTGGAACTAGAACAGTCTACCCCAGTGAGCAAAATAAAGGGTTAAGTTCGACATTCCAACCACCTCAAGAAGGCCGGGCGTACAACGGCCGAAACGTTGTAATAAATATGGCGACAAAGATGAGGACAATAGTCCGAATAATGTAAATAATGTACATAATAACTCATTTCAGAAATATAGACAAAATTTTCTCCGAAAACGTATCTTTTGAAAATTAGTGGCAAATTTAGTGAATATTAACTAAAAGCCCTAAGTAGGTTTCCAGATCCTTGTATTGGCAATGAGAAGAAATGTAATTTAAAGCGAATTTGTATGATTTGTGGAAAAATTTGCTGTTGGTCGGTCAGGCGGGAAACGAACAGGTTACTGACCTTGTGTTGCTGAAATCTGTACTAAACAAAAACGCTTTACTAACCTTTTATAGTTACAGTAGTCACATGACAGCGTTACCACGTGATCCCTGAAGTTGTAAAAAAAGGAGAGGAAATCTCTCTCTCTCTTTTTTAAATGACCGTCAATGTTACCAAGTTATCAGACTGTGAGAGGTCACCGCGGAAAACGGCAACCTATTTCGCAACTTAAGGTCACAGCTATTGCTTTTTTTTTCCTCGATCTGACCAGTCCCTGTTCGTTTGGCAGATCAGGGGATTTTCTAGACAGTTTTACTTTAATTTTTTAATAATTTCACCCACTAGGCCGCGATGACGCAGGATGATACAGTTAGGAAAGACCAATAAAGGAATAGTGTTCAAAAAGATAGATTGACGTTGTATTTAAATATTTTTGTAGGCGAGAGAGAAGCAAAAAATCGGAAGGTGAGAAGTGCGAGAAAAGAAACCTTTAGAGTAGAAGTGGCGGTTGCATCTAGCGAATTCAATAGTTAAACGGTGAGACTTAATTGTCAACCTAGTAAAAACGCTTAAATTCATGTAGTCGGGGTACTAGGGAAAATCTTTTAAAAACGGATGTCATGAAGATTATTTGTAGAAAAGACAGAGGGAAGCCACGTCACGTCGGTGAGAAACTGTATCTGTTGGATTTAATGAGGGTGTCATTCGAAACAGAAGCGAAAGGGGGAAACATTTCTTTTTGTTCTGGATTTTCTGAACTTTGACCTAAAAAAAGGTGCAAAAGTATATTCATGGCTTGGAAAATCTAGTATTTCTTTTAGTCGATTGAAAACAATTGGTTCTGATGAGCTGAAGAAATAAATGTGAAGATCTGGCTAAGGTGTATCAAAAAGATAACGAATCTGAGGACCTTTTAAATAAATGCACCCGCCTCAGCTACAATTGTTGGAATCAGGGAGACACTCTCTGCGTTATACAGAAAGCAAAAAAACAATTTTTAACAACTTGCATTCTTTGTTTCCCAATGTTGAAATTGTTCTTGAATTGTTCATGCCAATGATGTTGGCCAACTATACAGGGAAATGTTTCAAGAGTGAAACTTATAAAAAGGCAGAATTCCCCACACAATGGAACAGCATCTCTTGAACGGCATGCATGCAGAATAAATGACATTATTAACTTCAAACAAATTGTAAATCAATTCAGAGCAAAGAAACCTCACAAATGTTAGTGTCGATTAATAATTGATAATTCATATGGTACCACCTCCATATCCACGGGTTTAGCAATTAATTATCATTTATGCAAGGTTTGATCAAGAAGTATCGGGACTGGTGCTACAAAAAGAAAACTACAACAAATATCAATTCGGTATTTAATCTCCTTCGAATTAACCCCTTCTGAAACTGCACAATTTATCAAGCGTCGTTTCGATTAATGGAAACATTCCTGGAAGATCTTTTTGGGGGATAACGAGCAGCTGCCTCGTCTCATTCTCTTGGATTCCTCGACATCTTGTTCCTTTCAAAATCTTGTTCCTTTCAAGTGAGTTTTTTTTATTGATTCATTTTCTATGACTTGCATGTCATGTAAAGCCAGAAAAGAAATTTTATTTAGATTGTAAGAATTCTTTTTGGGACAATAATGATTTAGTTATACAAGTCTTACTAATTCAGAGTTTAGGGGGATAGATGGATCCATGCCTTTCCCAAAGGTGTTTTAACGTAAGTGAATATAACGAACCCAACTAGAACTGGAACCCGTCTCTCCGATTAATAATTCTGCACCATTATCAATTACACCACCTGCACATCCAAGCTCACAACACCTGGTTTACCCAAGTGGTCACCCATCTAGATACTGTCCAGGCTTGACATTTCTTAACTTCTGTGATCGTACGAGAACCGGTAGTTAAACGTAATGTGGACGTAAGCCTCTTTTTAAGCGGATTTTGATTTTTGAAGAGGAAAAGTCACAAGTGCTGACATCTGGGGAATATGGCACTTGTCGTACCTGGGGAATGCTGTCTTGACCAAAAAACGGTGCACAAGCCAGGGTCACTGATGAAATTTATGTGGTGTCGTGAGACGACCACATTCTACACACTTTCTTTCCAAACATTACTATAATCAACGAGAGTGAGAGCGATGTATCTTTGTGTGTATGCGCGACATACTTTAAGCGACTTCACTTTGAGTACTTTAGCTCCGTTACCATAATAAGAGTCCCGATACTTTTTGATCAGTCCTTGTATGTTGAAATGTTTGGGCTTCTTATTGAAGATATATTGTTTCAATATTTTGCTGATTAATCCACGCTTTACAGTATTTTTTTTGTTTTGTTTCAGCACTGATTTTGTTGGATGTATCAATAAATGCCTATTGAGAAGTACCATCGACAGACATCATCATCAAAGTTTTACTTTATCACCAAGACTCAAATCGATATCCTGTTGATATAAGCTGACATATATTGACTATTGCACATGACCTAGCTATCACTAAAGACACCATTACCAATGTCACAATGCTCTTTCTAGAAAATGCTGCTAACAATGTTGGACAATATGCCAATGCCTCTAAGACGAAATTCACAGGCTTCAACCAGCAAGGCTCAATACAAACTGTCTCGAAGTGAATCAATATGTCGAATATTTTTAACCCACCTAGGAAGTGAAATAAATTCTATTGTAAAGGATGTGAAAATTCGCAAAGTTAAAGCCTGGGCCGCTTTGAATAAAATGGATGTAATCTGGAAATCAAATCTACCAGGCAACCTGAAGCGGAGATTCTTTTGAGCCACTCTAGAGTTGGTGTTAATGTATGCCGTCACTGCTAGGATATTAAGCAAAAACCCTACATTCTAACCTTGATGAAACCTGTACTCGAGAGTTATACTTAATATATCCTGAAGAAGACAACATCTAACTTAATCACTGCTTTATTCACTCATCCCTGATATTTTTACATTCTTGCTGGGAGCAGAGTGCGCTTTGCAGGACACGTCTGGCGAACAAAACATGAACTTAGGTGTGGTCTACTGTTCTGGACACCTATCCCTGGAGCAAGACGAGGGCTAGGTGTCCAGCAACGACTTACACTGACCAGTTATGTTATAACACAGAAGGCCTTCCTAATGACCGTCCGACCTTGATGCAGGACCGTGAGGGTTGGCAGGATAGACTCATCAATGTCCGAGCTAACTCAACCAAATAAAGAAAAACAATATAACAATTTAATTTAAATAGATGGTTTATTATTTTATTCCAGTTTGCGGATAGGATCCCCAGTTCATTGCTTTTCCTACCGCCTATAATGCCGTCAACATGACCCTACCCTCATTTTCTTATAATCGTAAACGAGAACTGTTAGCATAGAACTTGCGGTTACATTTAGCTATTTCAACTATAAAATGATGAGACCTAACTGCCAATCTAGTACTGCGCTTAAATTCATAAAGCTTAGGTACCAAATAGGAAAGCTCGTCAGAACTATTAGCATGAAAATATTTATAGAAAACGTGCAGGGAACCTACGTTACGCCGGTTGGAAAATGACTGAAGCCGAGATACCAGGTCACGACCGATAACATTGCAGATTCTTTATATTTTATCAAAAATTTCTAAATACATAGCAAAAGTACCAGACCAGATGTAACAGAAATATTCAATGCACGAATGAATGGTGTACATATAAATGTGTAAGATAGATTCTGGCGAGAAAGATTGTCTGGCGCGACACATGGAACCAACTTTCCTAGCGTCAGATGTAACATTTGATTCAATATAATCTTTCCGATTCATACCTATGGAAAAGGTTATCCCGAGAAAGCGCAATGAGTCACTTTCCTGGATGAATGAAAGAGCCTATGTATATAAAGCGAGGTAATATAAGCAATTCTAAAATAAAATTTAATATTCCGTGTATAAGATTTTAAAAACACACTCGTTATAGCCCTCCGTAGCTTAAAAATGATATCGTTAGTATTCCGGACATTTCCTTAGCGAAATCACATATTGATGCTTGACTTTTCCGATTAAAACATCTTTCTGTAGAAATTTTTGGCTCAAATTAGAAGTATTTATAACAGAAAAATAGCAGGACGTCTTTGGTCGGTCGAAGAACACATCAGTTGAAAAGTGGTGAGGAAAAACCGTAAGGGTGATAATATTTGTTCAATTTATTGATGGACAAGTGTCTGCAGATGTTCAAACGTTAAGGAAGGCAGAATGCGTTGGCTGAAACGTCGCTCTGAAACCAGAAAGGTAAAAGATAATTATTTGAATTTTTTATGAAATAATGAGAGAAATTGCTAGAAATTCAGAAAGCCGAAGAACGCGTCGGCTGAAAGGTAATAATGATGAGTGTAAGGATGTTAGATATTTGCCCGAATAATTCGTGAAATAATAAAACCATAGGCTTTTAATCAACATTTGATGTAAGCGCATTCTCTCTAGGACTAAGCATTAAATGTAAGAAGACAATGTATGGTCTTTACCAAAAAGAGATGGGGATCAAGATGCGAGGCGTCAAATTCAAGCAAGTACGAAGATTTAACTCTCTGGGACGTGTTATAATAGACATTTAAAATACGACAGAGAAATAGTGCCCGCCAAAAGCTAAACAAAGTATTAACAAACAGGAAATTTCGTTTGAAACAAGGAAAGTGTATTGAACTGCTATATTATATCAATCAATATTGTAGTGAATGCTAGAGGATTTTCTCACTGATGAAGAGAAAACTTGAAGAAAATATGTGAAGGATACTGAGAATACTATGGACAGTCCATTTGAATAACGACGTGTTTTGAAATAAAATGCAAACAAAAAAGACAATTGAACTTAGGATCAAAAAGAGAAAACTGAACTTTGTGAGGTTTGGAGAATTTGATACTCACATCTTGAAGGCAAGAGAGCAGAAGAAACAGTGAATAACTTATATAAATGGGTTGTGTAAATGCTTTGAAAAATGTTTGGTTCGGAACTTTATCGCAACTTAATAATTACAGATAATTTTCCCGTCAGACACGATTCCATTAGATGCACAATATTAGTGGTCGTATGTGTTTTATGGTCTGCCAAATTGCTGGAATCTAGTGATTGAAAATTAGTCCCTAAGGGCAACTTCTCTCGAGGATGAAGATGAGTCAGGTGGTGCTGATATCCGATATAACTTAAGATAGCCACAGATCAATTTAGGACCAAAACATTTATTTTAGGCGAAATTTCTAAAAAGGAATTTTTTTTTTCTCCTGGCACTGCGAAAACCGGAAGCGTAGTAATTTTAAGGCGCCGATTGGATGTGAAGGTAGTGTAATTATTAGAGACTCGTAATGAGAAATCAACGAACCGGGTTCGAATTACAGTCGAAATCGTTACATTCACTTTCGCACTAATACCCTTGGGAAAGGTATGAATACATATATTCTCCCCTCAGCTATGGGTTAAATAGTAGGACAGATTGAAATCTCTAGCCGTGTTCGATAACCGGTATAAAAGGATAACTCTGAATTCAAAATTATTTGTAGTGCTAGTGGGGCACATAGTTGAACTGTAACTAAGTTCTACTCAGCATACTTGCCGGGTATAAACCACAGGTTGACTCTTTGGTTTTTGAAGAAAAACAAATGGACTTGGAAACGTGAAACCCTGCTGAAGAGGAGAAATTTGATTTACAGTATGCCTTCAAATCGAAGAAACCATGATGATGAGGATGATGATGATGATGCAAACACTTTTTTTTAATTTTAAAAGCAGCCATGGAATTATCTTGGTCAAATGGTTCATAACGCAGAAAATGTGTCCAGTTTGCTTTAAGGAAATCTGGACAAAAACATCGATTAAATTATACGATTGATAAAGTACAAATAAGGAACTTTGTTAAAAATGATTCATATATTCACAACACATTACATTGCATCTAGACATATGGTTGTTAATATTTCATTCTCTCGCGTGGTACGATGTTACAAAACCGCATCAAAAAGGCATCTCTCCAAGTTCTTCACCAGGTATTGAACTTACAACTCTTTGGGTCCTGTCAGTGGATCTAACCAACGCCTGTATCCACTGTGCCATGTGTCCGTAAGGATAAAGGGTTCAATTCGACATTCCAACGACCTGAAGAAGGGCGGAGCGTACAACGACCGAAACGTATGTTATCAAAGATAAGGACAATAGTCCGAATAATATATATATATATTTATATATATATATATAAATGATTCATTATATATAAATATATATATAAATGATTCATATATAATAAATTGTTGTGGTATTTTGAAGAGATGTGTGTGCGCGTTGTTGAAAAGTGAAAGTGGTGTGCAGAGTTCAAACCCCAACCGAAATAGTTGCCTCCGCTTTCGCACAAACACGTCAAAGAAAGGTATGATTGCAACTCATTTACCCTCACCTCACCCACCAAGCTATGGATTAAATAGTAAGAGAGACTAGGCTCTCTAGCCTTAGTTAGCAACCAGTCTAGGAGATATTCATCCTTGAATTCAAAACCCGTTGGATGTGGTGATAGCAACTCTACCCCGTAAATCCTGAATTGTGGCGGAAACCACAGCAGCAACGCCTATCTTGCCGAGGCTGCTGTCCTAAACACCAGAGGGTAATCTACAGGAATTCCATACATACATAATATATAAATTTAAAGAGATAGTTTTACCCAAATATGAACAAAAAATGTAAGATTTGAGTTTCAGTGTAGGTCCTATATATGTTTATTCATGTTTTTGATATTTTTAATCCACAAGAGAAATATCTTCTTCTTTCCTTAAAAGCCCAAATTCCGATAGAATCAATATTCTTTGATCAAATAAATATTAGCAACATATTTTTAAAGGAATGAATACAAGTTATAGAGAACTCGTGTACTTGTATTTACTTTATAAATTCAACCAAGGCCGGGTACATTTCCTCAT